AATGTACATTGGCGACGGGTTACAGCCCGTCGCCAATGTACATTGGCGACGGATGTATTCCCGTCGCAAATGTACATTGGCGACGAGTATGAGCCCGTCGCCAATGTACATTGGTGACAGATGTATTCCCGTTGCTAATGTACATTGGCGACGCGAATACATCCGTCGCCAATGTACATTGGCGACGGGAATACATCCGTCGCCAATGTACATTGGCGACGGATGTATTCGCGTCGCCAATGTACATTGGCGACGGGAATACATCTGTCACCAATGTACATTGGCGACGGGCTCATACCCGTCGCCAATGTACATTTGCGACGGGAATACATCCGTCGCCAATGTACATTGGCGACGGGCAATAACCCATCGCCAATGTTTTCTGTCGCCAATACCTATCCGTCGTCAATGATCATTGGCGACGGATTTCCCCGTCGCCAATGTTTATTGGCGACAGGATTATTGGTGACGGACTCCACCCCGTCGCGAAAGTGTATTGGTGACGGATTTGTCCCTGTCGCCAATGTACATTGACGACGGGTTTGTCCCCGTTGCCAATGTACGTTGGCGACGAAAAATGCATGTCGCCAATGTACATTGGCGACAGGTGTATTCCCGTCGCCAATATACATTGGCGATGAAAAATGCCCGTCGCCAATGTACATAATCAGGTAAAAAAAATTATTTCTGCATTGCAAAGCCCCCCAATCGGGAATACGTACATGTTACTACCATTATTCACAATATATTAAACAATACTCACAATATCACATTTATCGATTCGCATCCAACAATATTCACGTTCACCGATTCACATTCAACAATATTCACATTCACATCCAACAATACTAACATTTACATTCATCGATTCACATCCAACAATATTAACATTTAACAATTCACATATATACATAATCAGGAGGTCATAATATGTTCAACACAATCCAAAAGTCTACATAATCAGGAGGTCATAATATGTTTAACACAATCCAAAAGTCCACAAAAGTTACTAAAAAGTCTAACACATTACTCACTCATCATAGTCGTGGTCTCTATCGTCGTGATCCCTATCATCGGTGGCGGCTGCATCAGAATGTCGTACCGTACTGCTGCTTCCTACGACGGTACCTCCTCTAGCCTAAAAAGAATGTAAATCAATATGAGAATATATTTCAAAATACTCATAATAAATACATATATATAATATGACATATATACCTCTCCACCACTTGCAGCTTCATGCTCATCAAATGCCAACACCATAATATCTGCGTATATAGACTGCGGAAGCAAGTCCTTTACGGGTTCTCTCCACCACTTGCAGCTGCATGCTCATCAAATGCCAACACCATAATATCCGCGTATATAGACTGCGGAAGCAAGTCCTTTACGGGTTGAGAATCGATGAGTCGCTGAACGACATCCAAGTCGTTTGTGCACCACTTAACTCATGCTTAATAGTGGGAAGAAAACTTAAAGCCAATGGAATTTCAACATTCTTCATCAAGTAATTTCCAATCTTACCCACGACATATGACGTGTCACCGTGTCGCGTCGATGTCACAGATTGGCTGCTAGGCTTATTGGTGGTGGTGAGTGTCTTAACTCTAGTACTTGGCAGAGGCACTCTTTCTTTCTTTCTTGAGTGTAAACCGTAAGCTCCGTCGACAACTTCCATCCACTCGTCTCTGGTCATGCGGTTAGGCTCTACAGGAGTGTCCTCTGTACTTCGAGACTGCGTGACACGGGTGAAGACATCGTTTTGAGAAGCTTCCAGCGCCGCCTGCATATCATATATCATAAAAATTAGAAACTTTGATGAAAAATCATTAAGTATATACAAATCTAAAATTAATCTTATACTTACGTTCAATTCATTAATTTTCTCCACATTTTTGTCATTTCCATCTACATTTTCATAGCCCTGCGGTGGTGTATAAGCTCTTTTAGCCAGAAGAGTCGGGGGCATAGTCAAAGCGTCCTGTGATATATTAAAT